GGAAAACTGGAGACGACTTCTCTCCGGACCAAATTTAACATTGAAAACGTCGATTCTTGTGAAGTTTTGTGCATTCTAACATAAAACTGATGCCCAAAAGTCTTCAGCGTAAATTATTATCTGAAAGTCTTCATAGAAACGAAGATATACCCTTTTTTGCTTTAATCCTCGTTGTGAGCACCATAACCTCGTTGTGAGCAAGACAAGCGCAGTGCTTGTCTGGTTTTAATATGTAATTCAAATGGCAAGAATACAATTTTCAATCTACCAAAAGCAATCAAAACGTTTATGTACAATAGTTTTTCTTTGCAATAGTTCTTCTTTTTCTTTTTTGAAAATTATTCTTCATATTCAGAAGTCATCAGATTAACAGAAGAACTAATCAGTGGAGGTAAATCAGCTATTTTATTTCGTATACACTAGTGTGGTACGAGTGAACATCACGGGGAGTTTATGAATATTTCAACAATTTCACAATCTGTGTGATACACACATATACATGTGTTTATCCTGAGCTGAAGACTGACCAAGTTATGTAAAACAAGAACTATCACGGTAAGTTGACAATGGCCCTGAAGTGGTGCTTTGTCCTTTGATTTATGGACCAGATAGATTATTTGTTTTTGGACAATTAGATCTTCAATGTGAAGTTCATTCAAGGTCAAGGTGAAATAAATATAGGTCAGTTGGAAGGTCTTGTCCAAAGGGGCATTATGTCCAAATATGAACTCATTTCACCTACTTATAAAGAAGTTATGACCAATGTGAACTAATTCCACTTACTTATAAAGAAGTTATGACCAATGTTAAAGTTTTTGGATGTTCTAGAAGGTCATTCAGGGTACAAGGTAAAATAAAAAATTCAGATCAGTTTGAAGGCCTTGCCTAAAGGGGTGTTGTTTCAAAATATGAGTAGAATCTGTATGCTAATAAGGAAGTTATGACCAATTCTTAAGTTTTTGGACAATTTGACCTTCAAGGTGAAGGTAATTCAGGGGTCAAGGTCAAAAGAATATAGGATAGCTGAAAGGCCCTGTCCAAAGATGTGTTGTGCCTAAACATTATGCCAGGACATTATGGTAAATCACAAATGTTTTTGGACAATTTGACCTTCAAGGTAAAGGCCATTCAGGGGCCAAGGTAAAAAAATACAGGTCCGTAGGAAGTTCTTGTGCTAAGAGATGTTGTGTTCAAATATGAATCAAATCCGTTTACTAATAAGGAAATTTTGGCCAATGTTTAGTTTTCGGACAGATTGACGGACTGACAGACGGACAGTTCAAAACTAATGTGCCTCCCTTTAGAGTATGCAAAACGTCTTGCAAAGAAACGCTGCTGTGCAAAAACGTTTAAATTGCTGTGGTAGATTGAAAATTATATTTTCATCATCTGAATTACATATTTAAACCATACACGCACTGCGCTTGTCTTGCTCACAACGAGGTTATGGTACTCACAACGAGGATTAAAGCAAAAAAGGGTATATCTTCGTTTCTATGAAGACCTTCAGATAATAATATACGCTGAAGACTTGTGGGCATCTGTTTTAGGTTAGAATGCACAAAACGTCACCAGAATCGACGTTTTCAATGTTAAATTAGGTCCAAAGAGACGTTGCCTCCAGTTTTCCTGCTACCCCGAGTGACTGCGTCGCACGGTATTTCCATCAAATTGTCCACCAACAGGCAATATCTTTACATGTGCATACTCGGAAAACACATCGCTAGCTATAACTGCATTCCGATATTTTTATATAAATGTCTGTATTCTTCAAAAATTATGAAAAACTCACCTTGTTTATCGTGTCACACGTCAAAGATGGGTGCTCACAACGAGGAACGGAAGTTGCTCACAACACTTTAACCGATGGACATTTTTCACTCGTTGTGAGTTAAACGGGCGTGTTCTTGCGCTAAGTTACGACACGTTTTAGCGTTTTTTACTATTCAATGAGGGTGTAAATCATCAGAATGTAAATCTAATAAAATTCATAAAATCACAAACGGTAACGGTATACGCTTTAACTCAGTTATTAAAAAATGGGGGGGGGGGGGGGGGTGTGTTCAGCCACCGCATAGCTTATGGACAGGCTGTCAAACAGTTTACCAGTACTTGTCGCAAGGAACTGTAAAAACTTCTGTACATCCAGAGCAGAGGTACAGTGGAAATGACCGTAGAAAGGATTTCATGAGCAATCAGACAACGAAAGTGACCTGCACCGTCCAGGAATCGAACCCAGGTCGCCCGATCAAACAGTTCAACGCCATACCTATTGAGCTAACGGGATGACTCAATAATACATTGACTGTCTACAAACAAATGTACACGCTTACTTTTACATATTCCGTTCATTCATGATTTTCTCCTGTTATAAATTATTAACAAATTTCTTCTCTACTAATAACACATTCTTTACCTATTACTCCGCAGCTGCTCTCATGCAAATCATGTTGTTTCAGGCCATTGGTCAAGCATTACGAACAGCCTCTCTAATTAGTCACAACCAGTTTAACAACATTAAATTCCAATAAAATAAAGCCTGCATCCTGTCACAGTTTTGATCACCGGAGGTCAGAGATACGTTCTAATCTACGTATGTAGCAAACATCAAAATATAGAAAATTTTATTTTTAAAATGGTTTTCATATTTTATTCATAATTCATAAACATTGTAATATCGGATTGTTGGTGGAGTAGATGTTCGTAGTTTCACTCCCGACCACTACAGAAAGCCACAATGAATTCACCAGAGCACACTTCAACCACCGCATCGTTCCTGGACAGGCTATCAGGCAGTTGCCTTCACTTTCGCAAGGAATTGAAACTTCTGTACATGCCAGAACAGAGGTACAGTACGAATGACCGTAGAAAGGATCGATTTATTGATCAATCACAACGATAGTGACCTGCGCCCGTTTCACAGTCCAATGCTCTACCTATTGAGCTAACCGGACGGCTCAATATCGGATTGTTCTAAATTAAACGATTCTCCAAGCGTTCAATGTCGCTCATCTTTTGAGATTCTAAAAATAGGGTTTTACAGTTTGACAATTTATAGGGCAAATATGTTTCATTGCTGCCTTGTCGAGACTAATGTTTTAAGATCATTTATTTAATTAATCTTGATCTACTTGGTACTGCACCCACTGCCTTTACTGCATCTTTATCTCTTGAACACTTTTTATAAACTTCTGATCTTTTAAAATTTTTCTTTTAAGTATTCACGAGAAGATGTATAACTCTTAATTGAACATCAATATTAAAATAGTAGGAGTTGTTTCCCTTGCGTTGATAAAATAAGTTTTCAATATTAACCTATAAGTCAAAGAAGTTCTATAATATTGTAAAGGAATCTTTTCCTAATGTCATAAAAATAGATCTGGCATTAATAACGTTTTACATAATTGGTAAAATTACACCATTGAATTACTTTCTTTCTAAAAGATGATACAATCTTAAAAGAACTCTCTTGTTTCTCTTTCAATGTATATCTCAATATATTGTATGTATGTGCATAAATGTTTTGTATTGTGAAACAAATCTAAAGATAAAATAAAAAAAAAATAAAACAAATAAGTAAAAGGATTCTAATGCCGCTATTCAATTATTTTCTCCAGATTAATTTTTAAAAAAACCTGATCATGCATTGATTGCTTCAATATTATTATAGAGTTAACTATTTTATACGAAAGTTATTATTTTCTTTCAACTTGTTTTCAATGTTTTAAAGACAATAAAATAGTATATTTTATTTCATGTAAAATACATATTATGACAGTTCTAATAGACTATATGTATAAAATAATGAACAAATAAACAGAAGTCAGTGACACCCAACTTTTTTTCAATCAAAATATTTCTGTCATCATATTCTAACAAGATGTCAAATTTAAAGAAATTCTATTAAACAGTTTTAATTCTGCCTGTATGTGTAGATGAAAAGTCCTGAAAACGTCCATAATATGTATGTAAATGCAAATCACATTACAAGAAATACAGCAAAATATCATTAGACCTATATGAACTATCAATATTATACAAAGGGATATGTATACATCGCTTTCGGTTTGAGCTGGCGCCTTCTTTACAGGTAGCAACTTTAAATCTGTGTGATACCCGGCTTTTTAAGGGTAATTCTAAGATAACTACCGTTAATTTAACTCGCAAATTATAAAAATTAAAAACCTTAGCGTTGTTGTACATGATCAAATATCAAAAATGGCACATGAACATTGTGGTTGCTGACCTTTACGTCTCTCAAAAGAAACCAGCCTAATATATTCACTTGCTAGGCGAGGGTGATATTGCAAACACCCGTTCATATTTCATGCTTTCCAGCGTATTACTGGAATATATCAGATGATAATATTCTGATAAACGACTAGTGAAATTTATAAAATATAATTTTCACAGTAGCCGGACTATATTTGAATGCAGATGAAAAGAAAATCATAAATAAATGGAATAACAGGCAGAAATAAATGCCGTCTTACGTAAATGCTGCTTCTTTAGGAAAAGGAAGTCAATGTTATAATATATCATGTTAAATATGCTACAAAATTAATGATGTGACGTCATGATCTGGTGACGTCACCAAGGAGAATGCGCTACGTTACATGGCAAATTCAGTCAAAAATATCTAAAATCACTTAAAAAGCATGATATAAAAACGAAATTTATTTGTTTTACATATAAGATTGAAATGTATTTCATTCATGATATATAATTATTTTAATGATTACATATAATATGCACAAATATTTGCAGTTCATATTTTACATATTCTTCGCCACTCATGAAAATATTGCATTTGGTGTTCACTCATAGAAATATATTTCAATCTTACATGCAAAACAAACAATATATATGGTCAGGAATATGGTCAGGAATCTTTAAAATGAATTAATAATACACCAAACTTCCTTTTTTTTGAGAAAAAAGCGAGATTTCTATGAAAATTGACAGAAAACTATATAAACTTCATGATTATCCAATGAAAAAGTATTATAAATATTGACATATACAGTAATTGCAAATATTTTTTAGTAATAAGTTGTCAAAATTAAACAGACATTTCTGTCACTGCCTAAGTACTGCAAATTCATTTATATTTGTGGGCATGCATGAAAACCAAGAAAATTCGTGCCCCACGAATAATAATGATTTTACAGTAAAAGGGTTGTATGGTTGTGATATAAAAAGAAAAATTATGACACATTTAACATACTACAAACACATTCACACCTACATTATAAAATATTTGTACAAAAATTTATAATACTATAAAAAATGTCTTTCATGATTTGATTGTAAACTTAAGTTTTTTGATAAAGATGTGCTGCTTAGAAACTCCTTAAAACCATTATGATATCTAGTAAATATTGTCTGAGTGGGTTTTTGTTTTTTGTTATACTATCATAATTATACACATTCAGCTCTTGTTTCCGGTATGTTTTGTCATGTGTTTCAGAAGAGTGCTTTTTGCAGTATAAGAATTACCACAGCTTCTACAACTGTAGTTCCTCACTCGACCAGTATGTACTTTCATGTGGTTAGTTAGAGTACCTCTCGCATAAAATTCTTTACTGCACACCTCACATCTATACCTCTTCTCTCCTGTATGTATTGCAATGTGATACTGGAGACCAGTTTTTTGAGTGAATGATTTATCACATAGTTGGCATTGGAATTTTTTCTCACCACTGTGTACAATCATATGCTTCTTCACATCGTTTACCATATGAAATACTTCACCGCAAATACTGCATGGATGCACTTTCTCGTTGTAGTGGGTTCCCAAGTGTGATTTCAAAGAATCCTTTCGAGAGCATTCATAGTCACAAAGATTACAAGTATAGCTTTTCTCACCAGTATGTATTTTCAAATGCCTGTATACGCTGCTTCTATCGGCAAACGATTTGTCACAGATTTCACAACTATAATTTTTATCGCCCGTATGGACAGCCATGTGTCTTTTCAGATTGCCTTTCTGAGAAAACACTTGATTGCAAATTTGACATGTAAAACTCTTTTCACCAGTGTGTATGGTCATATGTCTTTTCAGCTTGTATTCTGCTGACAGCAATTTCCCGCAGACGGTGCACTGATACATCATCTCATTACAGAAATAATACATGTACGTATAACATCAAATTATCATTTTGTCATCTTTCATATACACCATTATTTGACATTTTAGTTTTTCTCTCCTGTATGTATTTTCAAATGCCTGTTAAATCGGTTTCTTTCGGAAAATAAAAATATCCCCGATTCACAATTTCTCTACCTAATCTGTCTAATATTATAGTATATTTTTAAGAGAAGCATGCCTTATTTTGCAGATGCTGCACCCAGAATAATTAATCTGCCCTCATCAATTCTTTATGGGTTTTTCTTTGTTTTTTTTATGTTTTTAAAATACTGCTTTTATTATTTTATTATTTTTAGATAATATCACATTAATTTCCTCCGTAAGTAGATTTCTTACATTGTATCTGTTTGCAGGCCTCGTATCTTTTTCTAAGCCTTCTCCTTTATTGCAAACTTGTAAATATTTCTGAAATAGAATAAACTATTGTAACACTATTTTTCAGTGTACATTTTGTATTTGTCAAGCACTGTTTTTTTACAGTGTGGTAAAAAGTTAAACTAGACTTTTTGACTTTACATGACTTTATAAAGAAAACAAGCAATTATCATAGTAATAGTAGTTATCATTGCAAGCAATCCATAAGTCCCCTACCGGTTTACCCAAGCAACATTCTGAAGGGCCATTGGCCATTCACTAATGTTTCAATTTTTCTCTATTTTAAGTAAATTTGTTGAAAGTGATCAAAGGAAACTGTTTTTAAGAACAGACAGACAGACGGACTGAAGGGCACTCTTAAGTTAATTTTTTAAACATCCCTGTTACCAAAATATAACATTTTTAAAAGCAAAATTCTTAAAGAGGAGATAACTCTTGAAATAAAGATACAAGACACCATATATATGATGTGAGTGGTAACAAAGAATAAATAGTAATGAAGCTGTTCATAATGAATGTTTATTTTGAATTTGAAGTAAAAGAAAGTTAAGAGAATCAATAAGAAAAAATCAAAGTTTAAGGAGGAGATAATTCTGGAAATATGGATGCTAGATTTATGAACCTTGTCATATTATTATGAGGTTGGAGTTTGAAGTAAATCCTATAAGTAATGAAGTAGTTGGAGTAAAATATACCAATTTCTCGAAAGTTCAAGGGGGACATAATTCTGGAAATAGTCTTGCTAGAGTATAGAACATTCTCACAAAGGATTTGAGTGATAATAAGAAACATATATGTGAAGTTTGAAGAAGATACATTAAGAAATAAAGAAGTTATTAAAAAAAAAAATTCATGAAAGTTCTAAGTTCAAGGAGGCAATTCTGATAATTTTTGTGCTCGAGTTGTAAACCTTGTCACATATGATGGGGTTAATGACCAGAAACTTATATTTGAAGTTTGAAATAAATACCTTAAGAAATAAAGAACTTATAGTGAAAAAGCCTATAAACTAGAATCAGAAATCTTGACGAGATTGCCGACGTTTGTTAAGTATGACAGCTCTTAATATACTCCCTATAGTCAAGATTAAAATGATGTGTATAATTTCCATTCTACCATCTATCCATATTTTAAGTTTCATAAAAATGTTCAGCTCTTCTTGACTAATCACAAATATTGTTATATTTGCCATGTTTTAAGCCTATTTGTTGTCATGGCAACCAATTTTTTTCATAATCTCCAGACTGCTTTCTACCCATATTTCAAGTTTCATAAAAATATTTTCAGTACTTTTTGCATTATCACTAGATCCAATTTATGTGTTAAATTTGCCATATTTTCAGTCTATTTGTTGCCATAGCAACCATAATTTTCAACAAAGGAAGAAAAGAAAAAGACGTTCATAATCTTCATACTGCCATCTATCTATATATCAAGTTTCATAAACATATTTTCAGCACTTTTTGCGTTAAAGGGGGATCCAGTTTTGTGGGCGGACTGACAGACGGCCAGAGGGTAAACCTAAAGTCCCCTCCGGTAAAACGGTAGGGGACTAAAAACTCATCCCTAAACAACAAAAACTAGGATGGGTAATAATAATTATGTCAGTTTTGATGAATCAAGTTATTTACAAGAGCAACTGCCAAGAGGGTGCAACGCTCTACTATTTTACTTTATCTAAAAGCAAACAAATAAATGGTTTCAAATGACCAATTACTGTTCTTAAAGATACATACATTGTATATATTAAACAGATTAAGAGAACATTTTATACCATAAATATCAAACAATTGGTGAATCATTCCAACCCTCAGCTGTCCCGCATGGTTTGTCATGTGTATTTAAAAGGAAAGTTTATAAGAGAATTCTTTATTGCAGATTTTCGCAACAATATCTCTTAATCCTCTCCTGTATGAACTCTCATGTGAGTCGTAACACTGCTTTCATATGAAAATGTTTTATCACAAATTCCGCATTCAAACTTCTTCTCTCCTGTATGAATTCTCATGTGTGTTGTAACACTTGCTTTATGTGAAAATGTTTTATCACAGATTCCACATTTAAAGTTCTTCTCACCTGTATGTAATAACATATGTTTCTTAATATAATAATGTTGAGTAAATGCTTTATTACAGATATTGCAATAATAGTTCTTTTCTCCAGTATGTATTGCCATATGTTGCTTTAGATTACTTCTTGTAGAAAATGCTTTATCACAGATTTCGCACTTCGAGATATTCTCTCCTGTATGAACTGTCATGTGACTCAGAAGACTGCTTTTCTGGGAAAATGATTTATTGCAGATTTCGCAACTACAGTTCTTAACTCCTGTATGTACCTGCACATGTCTAATTAAGTCACTTTTTCGGGAAAACGATTTCTTACAAATTACGCAACTATGGTTCTTAACTCCTGTATGTATTTGCTCATGTCTAATTAAGTCACTTTTTCGGGCAATCGATATATTGCAGATTTCGCAACTAAAATTCTTAACTCCTGTATGTATTTGCTCATGTCTAATTAAATAACTTTTTCGGGAAAACGATTTATTGCATATTTCGCAACTATAGTTCTTAACTCCTGTATGTATTTGCTCATGTCTAATTAAGTCACTTTTTCGGGCAAACGATTTATTGCATATTTCGCAACTATAGTTCTTAACTCCTGTATGTATTTGCTCATGTCTAATTAAGTCACTTTTTCGGGCAATCGATTTATTGCATATTTCGCAACTATAGTTCTTAACTCCTGTATGTATTTGCTCATGTCTAATTAAGTCACTTTTTCGGGCAAACGATTTATTGCAGATTTCGCAGGAGAAGTTTTTCTCTCCTGTGTGTATTGTCATATGTGCAGTTAGATGACATGCTTTAGAAAATGTTTTATCGCAGATATCACATCTATGTTCCTTCTCCCCAGTGTGTATTGTCGTTTTTGAACAAGAAATCATTCTTAATAAATCTTATCACTAGCATTATTGCTTTAGTCTGTTCAATATTCTTGTATATTAAAACTAGAAAAAGTCCTTTATAAGAGTCTCTTGAACATCTGTGCCGTCCCTGTTCCAATAGGTTTACTTTGTTACATATAAACACCTCTGAAATAGAATAAAATGATAACAAATTTTACATATTAAATTTAATTTGCGAGGAGAATGCTCAACATTTTTTACTTTTTCTACAAGCAAGCAAATAAACAGTTTAAACAAATGTTTGAAAAAAATTAAAGGAAAAACATTTTTTCCTAATTTAAATTTTAATAGGTCTGTATAGTCACACTTGTTGTCTTGACCAAGTATAAATCATTTCCATAAATAAACGAAAAAGTTAAGAAAATATTTATAACCAAATTTCAACCATTTGATGGTCAAGGTCATTTAAAACTCAAGGTAATATCTTAATCATTCAATAAGTATGTTTGGTCTCAAGTTCTGTTTTGTCTAGGTATACAGTGTTCGAAATTAGCATTCCAATAGCACCTGACTACTAAATTACTCCATGGGCTACCAACTTTTCACAGTAACATGCCCGACCAGGCTGCTCACGGTATTTTCAGAGGCAATATAAACAACTGTTTTGAACAAATGAATCGTGCTAGTGGAATGTCTTTTGGGCTAGTGAATATTCCAATCTGGTAGTCCGACCAGCCTAGTGGATTCAAATTCGAATTTCTTACACTGGGTATAAATCAAATCTGTACATAATTTCATAAATAACAAAATTATTACAATTTAACAAAAATACAATAATATGACCTTGATGGTCAAGGTCATTTTAATTTTAAAGCTCAATGTCAATGTCAGTTCAACCTTTAAGAAGTTCTTGTCCAAAAGCTTGTTTCATCCAAGTATGAAAATAATCCATTCATTAATTTCCAAAACTTAGTTGCAGTTAGTTTTATAGCAAATTTCGTGAAAATTCCATAATTTAACCTTACATATACTATAGACTTAATGGTCCGAATACACATTTTCATATTTTTATCTGAACTCTGACCCCTATGTGTGACCTTGACCTTGGCGGCAGGGACCTAAATTTTGCAATGTGCCACTCTGCCTCACAATAGTGAACATTCCTGCCAAGAATTTCCTCTATGCATGAAGAAGTTTTGCTCCGAACAAGCGTTTTTCAAAGATGCTTAACTGTGACCTAGACGTTTGACCTAGAGGCCTGGTTCATGTGCATGACACGGCTTCTCATAGTGGTTAACATTTCTATGAAGTTTCATAAAAATTCCTATACTGGTTGGAGTGATAACTTCGACACTAAATCACTATTTTTTTAAAATAACTTTTTTATTTTTGTGTATATTTTTAATTTTTACCCACCTAAACAAAGTTCGGTTCAAACATTTATAATCACATGCAAATTTCTTTTATTGAAATGGAAACTGGTACTTTCTTAAGGTCCTGAATAAGGTATCCGAAACATGATATTTTTAACCCTGGACAGTAGATAAAGTAGATATTTTAATTTCAAAGTAAAAACTAGCTTGAAAAGTAGTATAAATCAATCGTTTTTACATTTTATTTGCTTTATGCCTAATTGATAATTTAACAATTTTTTAAAGAAATTTTCCCATGTCAGTACCCTGTGTTCAAGGCAATTCTAACTACTGTCTAGAAGATTATATAAGTAAAAAGAACATTTTGTGACCGTTTTTGTAAGAAAAATTGTGGTCAACATAAACACATTTAAAAGTTTACAAAATTTAAAAATCTCATCACAGTCTGTGCTTCTCCTTTATTAATAGGTGACCATGTGCTTGTTTGTTGACAAAAAAAGATAAATAAAATTTTTTAACTAAGTGTCAGGGTTATCTATGCGTCGGAGTTATCTCTCCAACCAGTATGGTATGGGTGTAGGAGATATGCTCCAGACAAAAATCGGATACTGCCCGCCCATCTGCCGCCAGGGGGGAAACAATAATATGACCTGTTTTTAAAACGGGTGGATAAATACGGTATAATCTAGTATTATCATTTATAAATTTAATCTTTTAAATGTTTTAGATGCCACAAGATGAAAATAAATCATGTTTTTATAGAAAAATCTTGAATTTTCTGTTTATTATATATATACATTTTCTCTTTCAGGACATTAAAATTTGCAAGAATTTCCCTTAAATTTTGAGTACTGGCAGAATTTAAAAGAAAGTAGTCAGGCAAGACACCAGTGAAAATACGGAAAATATGTTTCACTGCAGTGAAAAATAAATTTTTACAGTGAAAATACGGAAAATGAAAATACGCATTTTATTTCATCAATATTTCATTTAAAAGTATATAATAAAGATATTTCTTTTAAACTTTTTTGTTTATTTAGCATAATACATGACTAGTCCTATAAATATGACGTCGCTTTGAGATATTTTTGCTTCTGGGCAAAGCAAAGCTTGAAAGGTAGAACAATAGACATTTTTTGAATTTTTTATGATGCTATGCGTTTTTGAGCAATAACTATTAGACGTCAGGCTTGACCGACAAAAACTATAACAAGCCTGTAACGTTCAATATATTGGACTAAATACATGACATAAACAAAAAGAAAAATATTTAAATCATGGCTCTAGACGCTTGCAGAAATCATGATCACAAAATAGACAAATATCGTTTTTTTGCCGATTTTTACATTTATCATCATGCATAAATCGGTGTGAAAAAATGAATCAGACATGTTGAAGTTCATTCCGTTGGGTAAATAGGCAAAATTTTAGCATTTTATCATTCAAGCGCCTTTTCCGGTATATACCGGAATACGGTATTTAGTGTGGTGCTCCAATGTCACTCTCGAATCGTAAATGGGTCGAATTGTCAAAGGGGCGAATTACAGAATCAGTATAACTAAATCAAACAGCTTAACAGGTTAGTTAACTTGAAATAACTAGATGTAGGCCTACCAAAATAATTCTTGGATGTCAGACCTTGAATAGGTTTAAAAAGATTCCAACGTTGGATATGTTTTTCCTTAAAAAGAAATTTGAGAGATTAATCGAAACACCTTGGTTATTAAGGACCGAGATGATGCGGCTGTCAAACGGTAATAGGACAATTCGGACCATGGACGTTTCGGACCAGACATTTCGGACCAGATTTTGGGACACTTCGGACCATATTTAGGGCCATTTCGGACCAGATTTTTGGACATTTCGGACCATGCGTTGGACATTTCGGACCATGTGTTGGACATTTGGGATCATGTGTTAGACACTTCGGACCATTGTTTCGGACATTTCGGACCAGAATAAATATCATTTTATATATTATTATGCATCAATTATTCTATAAACTAAAGTGTAACTTTAGAACTATATATATATATGAGACACCATGGGAAGATCTTACACTTATCCCTATTTAGATTTTATATGTTTTGCACTATAAATGAAAAAAATTAAAAAACAAACTAGCAATGTTTTAATGACACACGTTTGCAGACAATTTATTATGATATGATCAACTTCCATGGCTATTATTGTTTTATTTTGTTTGTTTATTTGTTGGTTGTTTTTTTTTCAATATTAAAACATATCCAGCGTATAGAAATACATAAATCGGCCGATTGTATTAATAACCTGGTACCACAAAAAATGACAATCACATTTATGATGGACGTTTACTCCGAATGACGGATTATGCTAAATGCTGGATCCTTAACCTTGTCGTTATTATATAAATACATAAATATACATTTTTTCTGTCTTACTTATTTCTTACATTGTTTTAATTTTTTATGTTAATCTGTCTTTATTTTTTTTCTTTGTTCGCTTTATATGTATACATGTCACACTTTCTCATATAAATGCCATCAATGTTAATTAATATATTTTTTCATGGGGAGGGCCGATCGCTAATGTTGTAAGAACTTGGGCCCAACCCTTTTGCTATTTGTTATTTCGAAATCAATTTGTTTCTCTGTATATTTACATGTATATATTAGCAATAAAATATGATTAAACTAAATACATAAATGAATTATGATAGAAATATTTTACATGGATAGTCAAAACAATGGTAATATAAGCTTGTCAGAAAAAGTGAAAATCTCGTCGGACAGGTCATAACTGTATACATTTGAATGTCATAAAATATAAAATGTCAAATATTTGTTGCATTTATTTTTAGAAAATATTGTAAATACATCCTGAAATAACAAACAATTACATATAAAAAGGAATATATGTTCTGGTCCGAAGTGACCCATCATGGTCCGAAATGACCATCACATGATCCGAAATGTCCCAAAATCTGGTCCGAAATGACCAAAAAATATGGCCCGAAATTAAGTGTCTGGTCCGAAACGTCCATGATCCGAAATGTCCGTAATTCTGTCAAACGCAGTGATCTCTTCGTAAACAGGACGTTTCGGCCCAAAACCAAATCGACTCCTTTGCGAAACGTTTCGGCCCTTTTCCGCGAGACGTTTCGGCCTTTTTTTATTACAGTTTTATTAAAGAATTAAAGGAATTTTTAAAAATTGTAGAATATTGATTGATTGATGGATGGCACACTTAAGACACTTAAATCCTTAATTAATAATCCATTATAGATCTATCGATCTCTTTTTTAACTATTGAGATAAATGCTATTTTTTTCAATGTGTAACTATAAAAGACAAATCCTTGATTAATAAGACAGTTGACAAAGTGCAAAAACTATTTGATTAACAAAGTTAATTACAATTATACCTAAAAAATTATTATCTTTTGATCTCTATTTATCATTTAACAGCTATTTAACTATTTAGATATGTTTGCTTTTCAAGGTGCAACAAAACGATTATTCATAGCTTATTGCTAATAAGAGGTAAGTAATATCAAAGAAAACTTCAAAAGTTTTTTTTAATTTATGACTTTTTATACGTAGACGCTGATGAAGAAAATATAGAATATCAGTCTCTACGAAAAACTTTAAATAAATTTATGGTTAAAGGAAAGCACTTTATCATGCTTCCCTTGGTAATTTTGAAAGAAGCATATTATATAATTACTTCTTGTATTCTGGGCCATATGTTGACAGCTTTGGAAAATCTATACAGTAAGGACCAAGTGTTTAGGTATAACTGACTAGAAATAAACATGAACAATGCTTTATTATATAAATGTAAAGTTTCATGAGTTCGTTTTCTCTCTCTTGTTTTTAGACATTTTGAAGACAAGTTGTATTGTTAGCAAAACAAAATAAAAGCTTAGTCTACGAAAGGTATCAACAATTACGAAAATGCATAATTACTTAAGGTGATAAAAACATAACAGGTTTTGATATAAGTAATTCTTACATAATTATGTAAGCCTACTAGAGCTCTAGGTCATAAATTTATATTTTTGTCCCTTTATATTTTGTTTTTCATAACCTTATCGAGTCTGTTTTTTAGCGAATTCAGCGTTTGTGAACATACTACAGTATCTGGTAATTTATTCCATTCTGGTATTACTCTTAATGAGAAAAAATGTTTTCTTATTTCCTTTTTACATGATTTTATTTTAAACTTCATGGAATTTCCTCTGATGTGATGAATATCAAGTTGTGCTTTTTCAAAAAATACATTATAATCTATATCTTTTAATAATTTCCATGCTTGTATGATATCACCTCTAAATCTTCTGTAAGCCAAAGTAGGAATTTCCAGAATTTTTAATCTTTCTACATACGATAAATTTCTGATACAATGAACCATTTTTGTTGCTCTTTTTTGAACTCTTTCGATTGCTTCAATATCTTTTTTAAATCTTGGACTCCAAATAATATTTCCATATTCAAGGTGTGGTCTTATAAGTGTTTTATAAAGTTCCGAAATTGCTTGATATTAACATGTAAGAAGGTATTTCTGACCAATCCAGTTATTTTATTTGCTTTATTGATACAATTACTTATGTGATGTCGAAATTTCAAATCCTTATCATATAATATACCTAAATCTCTATTTGCAAAAAGATAGATCTTTTTGAGAACCCTGCCACTTTTTTTTGATGATTTTTTTTTTCTTATTTTACTTTTTCATGGCCAAAAATCTACTGGCCCAACCTCGCAGTAATCACAGACACTTGGGGTTTGGAGCACAAAACGCCTTTAAAATCCAAATAAAATGCATATTTGTCAATCCCAGCACATGTACTGATCATATATATCAAAAAGACTTAATATAAGCCGTTTTGAAAAAAAATCAAATTTCAACATCTATAATAATAGATCTACAAAAGATAAAAATGTTCGCCGGAAAAAATCCGCACCCCTTCCGTCATAATCACCATGTATTTTATTCCATTTCCAATATTTCCACATAATCCTTTGGTCCATCGACACAGAAGATATAATTCTTCACGATGATGGTCAATTTTTAACTTCAACGGTAATATAAACAACGCAACAGCCGAAATAAACATCAAGATTATCGCCGTTTTCCTTCGAACAAGTGTCTGTGGCAATAATGCAAACAGGACGTTTCGGTCCCAAACTAAATCGGCCCCTGTGCAAAAATCGGCCCCTAGACGTTTCGGCCTTTTTCCGTGAGAAATTTCGGCCCTTTTTTAAAACAGTTTTATTTAAGTATAAAAGGAATTTTTATACTTAAAATCGTTAAAAATTGTAGTATATTGATTGATTGATGGCACACAAACAATTACTACATTTTCATCCTTTTTAAATTTGAAAAAAAAACATCTTGATAATAAGCAGATAAAATATGTTCCAGTGTTTGTTTATTATGTTTTGTTTTTAATAAAGTTTATATTCTGTTCTGTTTGTTTTGATTACTACCATTTTAGTCTCATTCAATTAAAAATCATAATTTAATTATTCAATTAATTCTCTCATTCCTTTTATTCTTTCATTTATTTATATGCTATTAAAATTCTGGTATAAAACACGATAAGGTAAGACTCTCTTAACTAAATAAAGGGCTGTCATCATTTGGTAAAGGGCCGAAACGTGCGGGGCCGAAACGTCTTGGGTAATTTGGGGCCGAAATGTCTCAAAATCGCAATAATCACCGGACTGATGCTAAATTTAGTGGCCTCTGGCCGTGGACTGGCGATTATTTCGAAGACTGTATTGAATATATAGTTAAACGCAGACAATATAGATCTATAGTCTAGAGCAAAGGGGGTTGTAACGGTGCCTGGACTCTATATTGGGGTTAATTTAGACCAAAATTGTGACCAAAACAACAGGTGACAATCCTTAGTCCGACAATATAATATGAAAAAGGCAATTAAAGCCTCAAAGGCTGAACTCGAGCTCAATTTACTTTTTAATACCGTGAAGTAGTATAAAATAATCGTTCATTTTTATTTTCCGTTCGGTATTTTATTCACTGCTTCCGTTTATTCTGGTTCCCTGTCCAATTAAGGTTCCCATATAAGTGTACATGACACCAGCCTACGTTTCCGTTTTCAATCAGAACATCTCGGTTTTTATCGTTATCTTGTCATTCAAAAAGTTGCGATGTGTCACTTCAGTACTTCGGACGAAAGTTTTCAAAACCATCACTTTCTAGTAGGTACTCGCGTTACCGTAAAGCTTGCTCGTTGAGCTCGCTATAAAACATAAACAAAACTTTTAAAATTCTTTACATTTTCAATGTTAGGCATACATTTTACATAAACATGTTTAATTTTTGCATGATGTTACTTTTTACGTTTTTTCCTCTCATTAAAATATGCAAATATGACGTTTCGACCCCAAAGTTGAAACCAAATCAGCGCCAGTGCAAAAAATCAGAACATAGATGTTTCGACCCTTTTCCGCGAGACGTTTCGGCCCTTTTTAATTACAGTTTTATTAAAGATAAAAGAAATTTTTATACTGAAAATCGTTAATAAGTGTAGTATATTAATTGGTTGATGTCACACAAACACTCATTACTGCTTAACAGTGAAAAATAAAATTGTGACCTTTTCTTTAGCATTGTATCCCAGGGGAGCCATCCAGGGCCATCATGACCCTCTTGCTTCATTTCACCCTTTAACCCATTACTTCATGAGCATTTTGTGAAAAATGACTGTTTTCATTGAAAAGTCTCCCGTTGCAAGTTAAATTGCTATAAAACTATAAAAACTGCTTCAATACTTATCAAGCTTGGCACAAGTGTTGACTGGACCATTGCCTTTGCAACAACATGCTCAGGCTTAAATTTCCTGTCACCATGGCAACGAGGGGACATTTCCAGGGCCCTCGATCAACCAAATCTGCGACCGATATTCGGCCGCAGTCCCCCACCAAAATAGTATGTTTTTTCCCCCTAACAGAGGTAAAAATTCCCCCTCAAAACATATAAAGTGTTAAAGAGAAAAAATGAAAACTTATGTTGTTTTTTAAATAAAAATCCATCTATTTGACGTTTATTTTGTAAATGGAATATCGTACAGTACATGTCTGCACGTTTCCGTTTGTTTTTCCCCCCAAAATCTACCGTCACATATTGGCCTTTCATCCTGTAAAAATGCTAAAATTTCAACAGAAATATGCAGAAAAAATCACAATTCCCATCAACAATTCGATTTCAATTTGTTTATTCATGAAATCATTTTTTTTTTGTCTTCAAATGTTACATCAACCACGGTAAATTTTGCCGTAAATTACAAACTTGTAAGTTTTGTTTTCATGATACTTTATTAAATAACTGAGGAAAAATGATCTTATAATAAACAATCAATTTAATTTTATATAATTTACATCAGAAACAACTAGAATTGTGGATGTGTAAACAGAAAACAAACAAATTTTCATTTGTCACATATTTTCGCGATGCCGATTTTTACGAATGTTTTCCAAAGTCAAGAAAAGGAAGCTTTGTCTTATAAAAGGGGTGTTAGAACACTAGAAATGTAGTTTATGAATAGAATTTACTTTATGTCCATGTATTGTTCATATTACTGGAAATGGAGAAATTTGTCTGAATGTGTTTCTAAATGCTTATTTTTTTTATTTTTTTTTTTTGGGGGGGGGGGGGGTGAATCATAAAGAAAGATAAGCAGCATAAAGATCTGATGGTTTAAGGTTTTAAAAACTTGTCTTCAAATCTTATCAATCACTTCTGAACAGTTTAGTGTTACCTATTTGGGATTTTTTTTAAAAAAATAATATGCATGTAAATAAAAAACAGCTGATATTTAAATAAGTTTATTTGATATTTGACCATAAAAGAAAAAGAGGAAAATTCCCCCCATACACCAAAATTCCCCCTGCTGAGGGTAGCGACCCGCTTCCCCCAAATTGGATTGAGGGCCCTGATTTCAAAATTCCCCAAAATCAATATTTTGCGTTGATTTTTTCCATCAAAATTGACTTCAGAGTTCTGCAACTTCTCAATTGATTGAGATAGAGACAAATGCTTTTCAGCGTTGGTTACACGTTAACTTAGGATCGATCTGGGGTCATTTTTAGCCTCTCACAAGTCCAAAATTTTCTTTGGGATGAGGGGGACTCGGCCCACCTTTAAACAACATTTCTCAAACAAAAACAAGTGTTGGGACTAAATTAGGCATTTTTTCACCATTTGAGACACCAAAAAAAGGGGGGGGGGTGAAAAAGGCGTTAAAAGAACGCCTTTAAAGGCGTATATATCGCGTAATGGGTTAAGTGGAAATTGTGGTACATATTTCCACAAGTGTCAAATATCATTTGAAACACTCATTTAATGACATGCACTTAGACATGTTTTCACATTTTTGTTTCACACAGTTCTGTTACTCAAAAGTCTATGTAATTGGTTAAACCACCTTTACATTTTATTAAATCTTAGCATTTGCTTAGCAAATTATTGGACAATAAGTGAAATGTTTATTGCTGTTTTCTACTTCACAGATATCTACAAGTTCGTAATAAAGTAACAAAGAAGAGATCTATAGACAGAGCTGTTATTTCAGTAGTTCCACGTAGAGCCTGAGAAACAATAGCCAAGAATTTACTTAGATGAGAATATCTAAAGAAAGCCGCTATTGTAACCAAAAGAAATTTAATCAACTCTGATCCAAAGTTTTGATTCAAAATCTATAATGTGGAGTAACAAGTACATAATTATGACAATACATACTGGAAGGACGGCAAGTGGATCCATGAGAATCATTTTCGTCATGAAAAACACATCCTGATAGTTATAAATTTGCATATATGAATTGTATTCATTTACTAAAATTGAAGCCATATTATAAAAGTAAACATGGAAGTTTACACTGAGGAGAAGTTTATATGTGATGTATGTGGGAAGTGGTTTTCTGACAGGAGTAGCCTTAATAGACACAAGGTGGTACACACTGGTGAGAAAAATTTTATGTGTGAATTCTGTTCGAAACGATTTTTCTATGGGAATACGCTGAGGAGACATATTGAAATACATACGGGAAAGAAGAACTATACCTGTGATAATTGTAACAAAGCCTTTTTGCATAGGGGTGATTTAAAGAAACATATGATTAATGTCTGTAAAAACATGTTTCCAAAAAGTAGTGATGATACACTAATGGCTGTCAAGAAAAAACGCTATAAATGTGATATTTGTGAAAAATTCTTTACTAGCAGAAGCGTCCTTGAATGTCATATGGTTATACACACTGGAGAGAAGAATTATAATTGTGACCTCTGTCATAAAGCCTTTTCTCAAAAAAGTCATGTTAAGAGACACATGTTAGTACACACTGGCGAGAAGAATTTCAAGTGTGAAATCTGTTCCAAACAATTTTCAGATAAAGGTAATTTTAAGAGGCATATAAAAATTCACAGTAGGGAGGAGGATGACAAAGCATCATATGAAAGAGAGGATGCATGTATTACAGGAAATCATTTAAATACTAAAGAGAAGAAGTATAAATGTAGCCTCTGCCTTAAAACATTTTCTCAAAAAAGTTATGTAAAGAGACATATGGTAATACACACTGGTGAAAAAAATTTTGAGTGTGAATTCTGTTTTCAACAGTTCCCAGATAGTGGTAATCTTAGTAGACACAGGGAAATACACATTGGGGAGAACGTTACGAGTGATAATCATGACAAAGCCTTTTTGGGGAGATGTCAATTAAAGTTGCATATGGTTAAACGCACTTGTGACGAGAATTATAAATGTGATATCTGCAAGAAAGGATTTTCTCGAAGAAGTTCTTTAAATGCACATATATCAATACATGCTAGCGAGGAGAATTTTACTTGCAAAATCTGTTCAAAACAATTTTTATATGGTTGTAACTTGCGGAAACATATGGTGATACACACTGGGGAAATGAAATATACATGTGGACTCTGTAAAAAGACGTTTGCCAGATGTAACGATGTTAAGAGACATATGTCAATTCACGCTCATAAGAGGTGTCAGGGACCGGAAGAACTAGAAATTAGCTTATAATTGAAAAGGATTTGTTTTGACACATTGTCAAGAAAAGTTATTGTAACTTCCCTGTCAGAAGAGCCGTCAAGGATGAAGACGATATCGATGTATCTTTGATTATTTTTTGATTATTTACATTAAAAATTTAAAATGTCTATGAATTATTATGAAAATTCACCTAAAACATATGCAGAAGCACTGAGTGGCCATATCTAAACTTAGCTGTTGTTACATGTTGGACACATTTTATAGCAGTGATGACAAAAAATGGTCAGAAAAAAAACATGCATAGAACATTAATTTATAAACAGGACACAACATATTTGTATGATAATCATATTTTACTAAAATCATTTAAACAGGCATGAAAGTGAGATATATACAAGCAATTAGTAGTAATTATCATATATCGGTGTATCGCTGATATTTTGTCATCCGATATCAAGGTAACACAGTAGCACGGGGGAGGAAGTGTTACACGAAAGATGGAGTTCTTATGATAACTTGTTTGGAGTTCTTATGATAACTGTCACGGAGTTCCTGGAAAACGTTACGGATTTCTGTGGAAAACTTTTCTATATACTTGAAGAACTCGCGTAAAAAATGGTTATTTTTAACTTTAAATGGGGAGTTTGATGTGCTAAATGAAACTTTGATAATTAAGCTTGCCCTACATATTGTATTTTGTTTCAGAAAAAATCGTTAAGTCCATATTTTGTCGCCTTTTTAAAAAAAATCTGGTAGTTTTGAGAAAAATTACCAAATTACTTGCTAATTCGTACATATTGACCTTTTCATTTGTGATCTTCTTCGTTGCTATACTTAATTACCTAATAATTATGGAGAGATGCAAACATAAAGCCTGAGCTAATAAATTTATACCCGACTTTTCAAATGTTACGGAGTTCTTGCGATAACTCAAAATATGTCCTGGAGTTCTTATGATAACTTTTGTTTCTGCCAGTGTGTTTTGTGCTTAATCACGGCACGTTTAAGCGTATTTTTATTAGTCAATAAGTGTGTAAATCATTATGAAGCATAGTACGCTTATCATTTGCAAAATAATTTGGTTATATAACGTTGGTTTTGATCATGTTTTTCAGTTCAAGAGATATTTTTCTTACCTCCGTTTCTTGTGGTTTTTTTTTGTGTTTGTTTTGGTCTTTGTGTGTGTGTGTGTGTTTTTTTTTTATTTTATTGGAATGACTGTAAACATACTTGATGTAGAGCATTTACTTACAGGATAAAAATACGCTTTGAATTTAATACTCAAGCATGATTTCGTCATATATGCATTATTCCTGGCAGTTTTAGAGAACATTAAGTAACTATGCTATCGGTATGCATGTAAATGGTTATCAGCAAAATAGTAGGTAGTGTGCACTACCCTTATCTAAATTTAATGAGGTGGGTGTCGTCTTTATGTATTCAACGGGTATTTCAATTTCTAAAAGGTATCAGTTTTTGTCATAGAAACGTATAAAGTTCTATGAAAATGATATGACGATAGAAAGTAAGTCTTTAATAAGATATGTGAGTCACCGTAAGGTTCATGCCGTTTATCGACCTTGTTCCTTTCTCTATTAAATCCAATGTAGCATCACGTGACGTATAGCAATTTCCATATTTCGGAAAATTACTGCATACATTTTTCTTATCAAAGTTGGAGTCCTAGTGGAAATTTTGCAACAACTTTTGCTGTAATTGATTACAAAAATATATTGTCGAACTTCTTTCGCTCGAACAAATCTGTCGAAGAGATCGGTAGTAATCGGTTGATTTTTTATTCATAAAATATCATACATTTCGGGTGCATGGGTGTGAAGGATATCCCGGTTATATACGTTACATGGTATATAATGATACAATTTACTTAGCCGCTTCTTGAGGGAAGCCCAACTACTTATTGTCTGCTTTAGAAAGGCGGTTGCTTAAAACAAGTTATCTGAGAAAAAAGTGTAACTTTTAAATATTTTTTCCTTGGCGGTTTAAGCCATGTTACTGCTAAATACAGGTGACCGCTGATTCAGGTTTTCCTGAAGAATTTTGTTTGTTTGTTTATTTGTTTCATTTTACGCCTTTTCCCAACAGTATTTCAGTCATATGGGCGGGTAGTTTCCATCGTTCCTGGAGAGTTACACCAGTACTAGACTACCTTCCTCCGTGCTAAACTACCAAAGCATCTCCCGGGGATCGAACCCACGCCAGAGAGGTAACTGGATTAGAAGTCATCGACTCAAACCCCTCGACCCACGGAGGTTGTCGTTCCTGAAGATATAACTTAGCACCTGTTTATCCTATGTAGAATGTACACCAAAGCAGTTTCATGTCTTCTCCAGATATATTCATTGATCGTGTTTTAATTTTGCCACATGGCCTCAATGTTGCATTTGCGGAAACTTATGACATAAAACTTTTGTTGACGAACAGTATACACAGAAACATTTAGTGCATTCGTTGGGTTTTATAATGTCAATATGATTTCGCACAAATTTAATTAGGAACTAAAACACGATCAAAACCAACGTTATATAACCAAATTTTTGTGCAAATGATAAGCGTACTATGCTTCATAATGATTTACACACTTATTGACTAATAAAATACGCTTAAACGTGCCGTAATTATGCACAAGAAACACACTGGCAGTAACAAAAGTTATCATAAGAACTCCAGGACATATTTTGAGTTATCACAAGAACTCCGTAACATTTGAAAAATCGGGTATACATTTATTAGCCCGGGCTTTATGTTTGCAACTCTCTACTATAATTAGGTGATTATGTATAGCAACGAAGAAGATCACAAATGAAAAAGTCAATATGTACGAATTAGCAAGTAATTTGGAAATTTTTCTCAAAACTACCAGATTTTTTTAAACGGCGACGAAATATGGACTAAAATATTTTTTTCGGAAACATAATACAATATGTAGGGCAAGCTTAATTATCAAAGTTTAATTTAGCACCTCAAACTCCCCATTTAAAGTTAAAAATAACCATTTTTTACGCGAGTTCTCTAAGTATATAGAAAAGTTTTCCACAGAAATCCGTAACGTTTTCCAGGAACTCCGTGACAGTTATCATAAGAACTCCAAACAAGTTATCATAAGAACTCCATCCTTCGTGTAACACTTCCTCCCCCGTGAGTAGAAATATGGTGATAAAATACTGCAAATCAGTCTTAAACAACACATAACATGTAAAATATAACTTGCCGTTGGATCATGAATGTTTTTATCTTTCTTAAAATTTTAGTACATTTTTCTCAATATTGATTTTCTTGAAATATTTTGGCTCATCTGGAGGCATGCAGCTTTAAATATTAAACATAGACAAAGCAAGATATTTTAAAATTACTGTGGCATTGTCTTCTTATTTTAATCAAAATTGTTTACAAATTGAATATTCCTGGTCTTCATTGTATATAGTAAACATGTTGCCTAGAACTTGTTTTGCCAACATTTTTAGCTCACCTGAGCACAACATGCTCATGAGCTATTGTGATCCCCCACCGTAGGTCGTCGTGCGTCGTCAACAATTACTTTAAACAACATATCCTCTGAAACCAATGACTGCACAGTAGCCAAACTACAGGAATGATCTTTTAAAAGTTGTTGAAATGGTTCAGGTCTGTTGCATAAGTTGGTCACTGGGCCAGAAAAGGAGTTTCAAAAATGCAATTTCAAATATCTTTTTGTCTGAAAGTACATGGCCCAGAGCTTTGATATTTGGTATATGTTATCATCTGTAGGTCCTCTACCAAATTTTGTCCTTAGTGTCAAAATTAGCCCCGACCCAGAGGGTCAGAGGTTTTCCTTATATGTATTTAGTAACTATCTTCTCTGAATTGACAAGGCCCTCCACCGAGTTTGTTCAAATTAAAGTCCTTCGCCCTAAGGGTTGTTGATTTTTAGCTTGACTATTCGCAGAATAATCGAGCTAATGCAGTCACCCATTTGTTGGCGTCAGCGTCCCTGTGGTTAAGTTTTTGCATGCAAGCTGGTATCTCCATAACTACTGAAGGGAATGGATTGAAACTTCACACACTTGTGTTCTGTGATTATCTTACATGATTGGCACAAGTCCCATAACTCTGATTTGCTTTTTTGCATAATTATGCCCATTTTTCGAGGTTAAGTTTTTGCGTGCAAGCTGGTATCTCCATAACTACTAAAGGGGAGGGATTGAAACTTCACAGACTTGTTCTCTGTGATTATCTAACATGATTAGCACAAGTCCCATAACTCTGATTTGCTTTATTACATAATAATGCCCCTTTTTCGACTTAGAAATTCTTGGTTAAGTTTTTGTGTGCAAGCTGGTATCTCCATAATTACTGAAGGGAATGGCTTGAAACTTCACAGACTTGTTCTCTGTGATTATCTAACATGATTGGCACAAGTCCCATAACTTTGATTTGTTTTTTTTTTGCATAATTATGCCCCTTTTTCGACTAAGAAATTCTTGGTTAAGCTTTTGCGTGCAAGCTGGTATCTTCATAACTTCTAAAGGGAATGGCTTGAAACTTCACACACTTGTTCTCTGTGATTATCAAATATGATTGGCACACGTCCCATAATTCTGATTTTTGCTTTTTTGTATAATTATGCCCCTTTTTCGACTTAGAAATTCTTGGTTAAGTTTTTGCATGTAAGCAAATATCTCCATAACTATTGAAGGGTTTGTGCCTTTTTTGGAACAATTTTATGCATTCAAAATAATAAAGCAGTGATTAACTCGATAAAACATCTTAATAACAAGCCTTTGTACCTTTTCGGACAATTTTATGTATTCATATAGGTAAGCATTATTATACTCAATGAAACACACTTGTGACAACTTTTCGAATAGTCGAGCATTACTGTCCTCCAACAGTTCTTGTTTTATTAATTATTAATTTATGTACAATTAGTAAAATCTAAAATCTGAAAAATTATTCTCTTCATCTTCAAAGATAAGAGTTTGGATACTTAATTAGCATGAGGCACTATGGACCTCAACAAAGATTGTTCAAATTATAGTTGAAATGGGTATCATATGAGTATTCTTTATATACATTAAAATTTGGACCATGTGCACAGTTTAAGATGTAAAATTAAACTATTATAACAGATGATCTAGATTTTGACCTAGTGACCATCTGTCTTGCCTTTTTAGTACAGCTATGACATTTTGACCATGTGCACAGTTTTAGGTGTAGAATTGAAATTTAGATGATCTTAATTTTGACCTAGAAACCCACTTTTATTTTATTTAATTCCCTCAGCATAGCGGAAAGGGTTTATAGGAATGTCATCTGTCAGTCCGTCCGTCTGTCCATCCATAATACTTTCATGTCTGCTTCATTACTTTTTAACAGCAGATTTTTTTTTTTTTAAATAACATGGCACAAGTGATCACCAATATAAGACGATGTGCAGATCGAGCGCAATAATTGTGTTGCAACCTCCCAAGGTCAAGGTTACACTAAAAGGTCAAGTGTTAATTTTTTTAACATTTTGTGTCTGCTCCATAACTTTTAAACTGTTGCATTTTTTTTAATAACTTTGCACAAGGGATCATTGTTTTGAGACGATGTGCAGAGCGCAATCATTGTGTTGCTACACTCAAGGTCAATGTCACACTTAAAGGTCAAGTATTAATTTAAGTACATGTGCATTTTGTGTCCACTCCATAACTTTTAAACCGCTGAAAACTTTTATACACCTACAAGAATTTTGGCATATATTGATATGCACCTGGTTGTCCCCCCATCTGTCTGGGCGTTAGCTGGTTTTTGGATTTGTGTGCGGTATGTTTCTATTGAACCAGTGGAAGGAAATTGAAACTAATTGGCAGAAATGTTAACCAGAATGAGACGATGTGCACAGCACAAGTTTGACCTTTTAAGGTCAAGGTCACACCTAGTCATTTTGTATGAATATCAAAAATGTGTGTCTGCTTTGTGTCTTTTAAACTCAATCATAGAAAGAAATAAAAAAAAATTGGCAGAAATATTACTTATATTGAGACAAATATGCAGAGCACAAATATGTTTTTTTTCCAAAACAGCTTATTTTAAGATTTTTGGTATATACATGTATGATAAGTACATGTGCCAGGATCTACATTTTATTTGGATTAAAAAGGCATTTTGAGCTTCTGTGAACCATTGAAAGTGTTTGTTTGCTCTTCAATATTTCGACTGCAAGACCGACCGATTTTATAATCTGATATTTCTTAAATGTCTGCGAGGCAACCATCGTCTTTATAATAAAAAGCCCTGAAGCGCACACGATGTTGGGCTAGGACACCTTGGTATTATTTATTTTCGTGTAATCCATTATCAAAAAAAAAGTTGTTAAGCTTGAACTTATAACGAATCATTTCACTACGCAGTTACCCCCCTTTTATACATTACCGTCGTTTGAAATCCTAAATGTGCATTAACCATAGAATTTTATATTTGATTATTAAGGTTGACATTAAATTGCTTGCCAATTAAAGTGGAACGTTATTTTTTATGCCGTGACGTGGCGCTTGACTCATAGATCTTTTTGTAGATTTCAGCGTGACTTTAACCATCAAGTATTTAGTTTAAGAACATTTTCGGATGATACAGACTTAGTTTCAGTTAAACTTAAAGGTAATTTAAACCTCTATTGAAATGAATATTAAATATCTATGTAATTTGTCAGTAAGCTTTGAAAATGCAGCAGGCTTGCGATATATAGTAGGCTATTCTTTTTACGATATACAAAAATCTGGTTTTACTATATGCAGTACATTCTTTATATATCAGAAACTACCAGGCAGGAAGTAGATCTTGACCTACATAAATTATGTTTATAACGCATTTTATCTTCAAATATATATAATAAATTTTATGCCAATAATATAGACCGAGTTTACAGCGATGACTGAAAAAATTTACAAACCGAAACGATCTGGGTAGTTTGAAGATCTACTATATAGATCTATTCTACTTTAGAATAAATAGATCTAGGAGAAATATAGATCTATTGTATTTTAACTTTAAAACAGAAAGGTTTCGGGGAATGATGTTGTTGTTTTCTTTCTGTTTGTTTGTTTGTTTGTTTGTTTGTTTACAGTGGACAGTTTGATATATTTTTTTTTTATTTTAAGATTATGATGGCAATGTGATTTTAGTGTCATCCAATGAAAATGCTGTACATTGTATTTCTTTAAAATCATGTGTGTTAATTTTCATAGAAAAGATTCAAAGTCGATATTATATCAAATTCAATTCATAGTCGCTTTCTTTTTTTCATAGTTCGTCATAGAACCGCGTTCATAATATAGTCGTGACGTGATAAAGTGAATATTAAGGAAGCCAATTAAAGCTTGACATTAAGTATGTCAGTATTCATCTTCAGCAGAAATTCGTGTCCTTATTTTTTTGTCATTTAATTAAAACACTGTATTAAAAATTATCTGTGTTAATTTTCATAGAAGAGCAAAAATCGATACTATATGTAATTCTGTTCATAGTCGCCTTCTAAGTTCATCCGTGCTGTTCTACAGAAATTAGAAGCTTCGACGGGAGCCTGAATATCACTATTTTAAGAAGCTTCAAGAAGGCGGGACACAATGATTGTCAGTTTCAAACACAAATATGTATTCAGAGTTTGTTTACTAATTGGGAAAATGACATGCATTTGATAAACCTGGGTAAAAATATAGCCGCAAAAGCGAAGTTCTGATGCAAAATATTGACTTATATACATTAAGTTTGAATGAGAGTTACAATCTAAATTTTGACTCGATGAAATAAACACATTAATATTATGCAAAGGGAACGACGTATTTTTAAGGGTTTATCTTTGCAAACAAGTAGAAACACATGTCTGATCTTTAAAATGGATCGTTAACTAATTAAGTCTATTAAGGTTCTAACTATTAATAAATGTTCTTATATTGCAGTTTAGACCTGAGCGTAAAAATGCCGAAGAAAAGAACAACTAAAGCTGCAACGGAAAAAGGCATTAAGAAACCTTACTCGAGGTCAGTTGACAGTGGCACATCTAGTGCTGGTAGTTCAACGTCACAAAAGAGATCGGCAAACTTAACCTGGTTTCTTAAAATATACAAAGGTCTGGACGATTGGCATCTTTCAATATTTAAAGCTACGCAACAGTGCACAAAAGCGAAGACTGTTTTGTATCCAGGAAGTGACAAGCACTTGACTGCTTCTCTTTGTTTTCCAGACGTTACTTATGTTGATTGCAACAAGAAATTGGAACCAATCTTTAATGATGATAAAGTTCTTGGATGGGTCCATGAGAACAAGCTGTACAGTGAAGAAGCGAAAATAAAGTTCTTGTGCAAAAATTTCGAATCAAATTTCGCAAAGCTAGCGTCTTTCGATCTGATGATATCTGCATGTGCCGGGATCGTTTCCAAGTCTTGTTGCAAATATGTGAAATCAGGTGGTTATTTCCTCGTCTCGGATGCCCACTTTGATGCTAGAGCAACATTTCTGAGACAGGATTTCGAGTTAGAGGGAGTGTATGATATGGAAACAAGCAAGTTCCTAACAGGTGAAAATGATCTAGCAGGACACTTTCATACCAAGGAAGGAAAGCCTTTAACTAATACTGAAGTTGAAGAAAGTATGCAGAAACCTAAAGCTAGACGGTCCTTTAAACTTCAAAAGGAAGCAATGTTTTACCTGTTTAAGAAGACCAAGTAACTTTTCTTGCTTGTATCACTGCATATGCATGATTCTTTGATTGTGAATTCGGAGACAGTATAGATTATAAAATACTCGATTTCTTAGGAAAGCAACCTTTTACCAACTCCATATTCCGACCAAAGATCATGTTCATGTACATCTAAACTTGACATAACCATACATATTATACATGTATATACTTTGTATAACTATACATATTATTTTTGCTCTGCATTAATTATTTTGAGGTTTGTAGATGTAATTAAATGCATAAGAATACCACATTGTTTTGTTGAAATGCAGAAAGAGATGTTTATATAGTATTTTGAGCAATCTGAACATTTACCTTTCATTACTAGTATTATCAACTTGAAGTCACAACATTCCTACTTTGTTACTCGCCGACATGCTACGACCTCCACTTAAGCAATGTTATTAACAAACGCGTTTATCTCGTATGTTGCGCCTTCAAGAAGGTTTCATTTTTAGATCCGTAAGTGATTCCATTTCTGGTTAAATTTATCAGGAAATCACTGATAATGTTATTTTCTATATTGAACAAGCGTATATTTCTAGTTAATGTTATTGAAAGGATCGAAAAATAATATTTGAGTCTAGGTTCAATGAGTTCAGTTTAAAATTCTCAAGTTTAAAACAAGATCATCAGTATCTTGATTGACCAGTAACTGTCAGAAAATTCACTAACCAATTGTAATCCTGAGATTTGAGACAGAACTAGAGAAAAATGCTTTATAACTTCAAGAAAAGGTACAAATTCAGAGAGTAACGATTTGAATGATAAAAGACCTTAGATTCTTGTGGGAAACGTCTTTAGTTGACTATAAAGTATCATGTTCGACAATTTTACTTTGTGTCTTGTTGTGTAATCTGTATAATTTGTCAATTTTAATCTAGACGTTTTATTGGTTGAAATGAAAGTGCATACTTCCGTAAAGTAACCGTTTTAATACATATAATTATGAAACAGTCTGCGCTTTTATCAGTCTTTACATTTCTAAGTTTAAATAACTTACAAGTTCATGTATTCCATAAAGATGAGAATAATAAATCTGATTGTTGTTACTGTGCTGTGCGTCTTGTCATCGACAAAGGGGGATGATGGTCTAGAAATGTGCCCCGTGTCAAAAGAGAAACAGCTTATAGGGCAAATGGTTAGAACAGAGATAAAGGTAGAGTCGATGTTACAGGAGACCAGGAAAACCGAGGAGCACGTATTGTCGGTGCTAGAGTATCGTAAGAAAGATTCGCAGAAATCTTTGGACGCGCTCAAAGAAACTCAGGATACTCAAGCAGATCAACTTCGTAATGTTACTGAAAATAATGCTGACTTGGAAAGAAGGGTCTCGGTCGTAGAAGGTATGTTACTTATCATTTGAATTTAACCTTCCATGACTTACAATCTAAGCGTGTTACTTTTGACATTTAAAGGGGCTCCACTGAGGTTTTTTACATGACTTGACTGGAATTTTTTACGAGATTTATGTTCCGTTTAATATATCCTGCATAATTTTAGACCATTCGCTCTTGCTTATAATTATTCTTATTGTGAAAAATGCCCTTAAGCGTTGCAACGATTTTTTACTCGAATTTGGATACCCGTAAGAAGAACAAAAATACGATTTTCAATCTACTTCCGAGTATTTTTTCTGAATAGATTTTGCATATCTTTCTGTTTTAAGTGGCCCAGCTGATCTATGTAAAATTCAAATTTTAGGCTGTTGGACCTCAGTGGAGTTTCTTTAAAGAGATATATACAATGAAAGTCAACAAATCTGTTCTTGATGAATAAAGCGGACAACATATATGAGCTAGCCGTGTCACGACAAAACCAACATAGTGCGTTTGCGACCAGCATGGATCCAGACCAGCCTGCGCAGTCTGATCATGATCCATGCTGTTCGCTATCAGTTTCTCTACTTGTAATAGGTTGGTAAGCAAACAGCATGGATCCTGATCAGACTGTGCGGATGCGCAAGCGGGTCTGGATCCATGCTGGTCGCAAACCCATTCTGTTGGTTTTGTCATGACGCGGCTATATAACCCATGTCCACTATAAAACCAGGCTTTTTAATTAAATATTACAGCTGTAATCGAGAATTAAGAAATATTTTCGATAAATTTTCGTGAGGGATATTAAGAGTGCTGTTGATCAGTTTATCGATCGGATGGATAGTACTAGTGTTCGATGTTTTCATTCACTGCCAGCCACTTTTCGTCATTGTGTAAAACAAATATTTTTCGTTTCTTCTCAGATACAGTTGCACCAGTGGCAGTGGTAGCGTTTGTAGCGAGACATTTGAAGAACGTAGCGATAGACAACGGTGAAACATTGGTCTTTTCCACGATCGTTTTCAACAGTGGTGCTGGCTATGATAACAGTACCGGGATATTTACGGTTCCAGTAAGCGGTCTGTACCAATTCAACGTGCGACTGTGTATTTTTGTGAACACATTTGCTCATATTGAGATTGTTTCTGAAGATGTTATCATCACCAGGACGCGTATGGTTGACGAGGGGACCCGGTTTCATTCATGCAGTGAGCTTACTGGGTTTGCTGTTTTAAGTGTTGGGAAACGAGTAAGGGTAACAAGTTCGCTTTCAAGTGATGTAAAAACAAACTTCTGGTTTAGTCCTGGTATAGTATGGAACACATTCTCCGGGGTGTTGATTAACAGAGACAACTAACAATCGTGTTAGAACACTGCAGTACTGGATTTGTTGTTTGTTTGACATCAGTATCTTGCATTGACTAGTTGTTGTTGTTTCATTCAGAAATGTTAAAGGTATAACCTAAACAAAAACAATTAAACTAAGCAAAAAAGACGCAAGTGCATAATTATAGAATGCACTTTGTCCAAAATTCACCAAAATTAATTGGGATTATATTAGTATTCTTTCTCGTGTGATATTGAAGTTATCCCGCGCTGTGAGTTGCAAAATACATGGCCTAATTTTTAAAAGCTTAACAACATGACTCTTATACAGCTAAAATTTTTATGAAAGACACTCAATTGACATTTCATAAGTTGTTTCGAAAATAGAAATATAGCTGTCAAGATAAAAGATTATTAAGATTATCATCCAAGGTAGTAATTTTAGTGCAAACTTTTAACACCTTTCAATGTATAAATCTATATCTGATGAAATATTTTATAAAAATTTCACAATAGTAAAATTCATGTATTTTATGTTTTATGTTCGTTCCAGAATGTCTGTGTAATTTGTACATGTTACATAAATAGCCAAAAAATTTGTCCCATT